TTTCCAACTGGACAAAGCCATTTAGCCTAATTTCAAGAACTGTTGCTGTATTTTCTGATTGCAAGAGAGACATTTCTTGTATCTTTTTAAAACAAGATCACTTTGCTCTCTGTCCCATTGGCAAATCTTGTTTTAAGGTTCAGTAAGAATGTGCTCAAAATAAGCTTTTGCCATATTATTATTTTTCATCACTTTTTGCAGTGTATATCTATATGTGTGTGTGTGGTGTGGGTAGGCAACATGGGTTAGTATGATCTTTGTGTGTCTGTGTCTGTGTGTTGTGTGTCTGTATGTGTGTGTGTGTGTGTGTGTGTGTGTGCGCGTGTGTGTGTGCGTGGACAGTTGTGTGACAAATGAGTAAGGTAACATGTTTTTGTGGCAGTGTGTATGCAGGGATTGTGTTCAAATGACAAACCGTTGAAAACCGTTTGCCAATGTTATGGCTCCATGGTCAATTGCTAAATATTGTAAATGAAGAAAGATTGATGTTTTAAGAATTATTTAATATTGCTTTAAAAGACTTGTGTTGCAAAATCTTCCCTTTTTTACATATTACAAAAGTGTGTCCTCGTCCGAACAGACCCAGAGTTGTTTTAAGCTCCATCAATGCAAATATTACAAACCTCTGGGAGCAAACAGCAGAAAAACAGGTCCCCCTGCCTCATCTTTCCACTCGCCCTGTATTCAAACTCATTATTCCCCTTTAATGGTTTCCTCAATCATTTGGCAGATCACTTTTTGAGTCACTTTATCTACTTGAAGCTTGGATCTGAAATCTACCTCATCTCAATGGGTTTTAGGCACTTTTACTATCAAACTGCATCGCAACCAGTTGGTAAAGACTGATAATTAAAAAAACTACAGGTTCAAACAAAATTATTTATTTGTGTTATTAGTGCTGCTACGTTTTAGAAAATCCACAAAAGAATTAAAAAAAAAAGGCATTTCTTTCTCCATGGAGTGAATATTAAAGGGTTAAGCGATGACAAATCTTCAGACTACGATACAATGGGCAGAACTGGTCTTTTTAAAACAAAAATTATTGCATCCAGAAATAGTTTTGTAAATTATTCCTGTCATACAGTCTTACATACAAGTCTGAGAATGTCCATTTAGTCTGAACCGAAGAAATTCAAAAAACATTAATCTACAACTGTGTTTTCAATCCAACTCTGACCTGGCCTGGTCCTCTCGCTGAACTTCCCACGTTCACCACAAGATGGAGGCATTGCACATTCCAGTCATCACATTTTCATATTCGTCCATACAGTTTTAACTCTTTTTGCATCATAAAACATGACATTTCAAAGTAAATATCCACAAAATCATGTTAAAGAGACCAGATTAGTACCAGTAATGCATAATATGTGTTCTTTTACGCTAGCATATTTTATTACAGTATAGTTACAGTGGGACTTGCAGGTAAACAGATTCGTGAAGGCAATTAAGGCAAACCAGAACCCGCTGTGCCTTTTATCCTCCTACTCCCAATTTTAATGCTGAACAGAAAAATTGCACTTTGCTGTACTTTTGCCCTAATGGTGCAGCCATATTTGTTTCATTCATAGGAAGGTCGGATTCTCTCTGAGTGGACACACATTGGGCCTCATTCACGAACGGTTCTTAGGAACAGATTTGTACGTAAATCCTACTTACGCGGTTTTTACGAAGAAAGTGGCATTCACGAATTTTTCTCGTAACCAGAATTTCTCTTGGGCAAGTACAAATCCTACGAGTCCTCAGGAGCACTCATTCAGTGCCGACATGTTCACACGCCGGGGTTGTCCTCTTTGGTGAAGTTGAATAAAAATACAACATTCCAGTGATATGTCCGTCATATCGATGTATGTATTTATTTATTTGTAGTAATCTTTATTAGTAATCTTTATTTATATACCGCCTTTTTCACTGCAGATCTGGCCTACTTTTTAATTCATTTTGAAATGAAATGTGCCAACGCTTTATCAAATACATTGGAAATCTTGCCGTGTATTAGTGACCCCTTCCTATTTATTGGGGGCATTTCTTTATCCACGGGCCACAGAACAACGGCATATATACTGCTGCTGCAGGAGGTTACTGGGTCCGCGCTGAGTCTCTGCGCTGGTCTCTCCTATGGATCTATACGGGTCTGCACTGGTCTCTCCCATGGATCTATACGGGTCTGCACTGATCTATCCCATGGATCTATACGGGTCTGCACTGGTCTCTCCTATGGATCTATACGGGTCTGCACTGGTCTCTCCCATGGATCTATACTGGTCTGCACTGGTCTCTCCCATGGATCTAGACGGGTCTGCACTGGTCTCTCCCATATACGGGTCTGCACTGGTCTCTCTCCATACGGGTCCATGCTGCATGCTCCTGGATCCATACGGGTCCGCGCTGGTCTCTCAAGTCTGGTCTATGCGGTCTATCTTCGGTCCGCGCTGGTCTCTGCGCACCGGTCTCTCCAGTCAGGTCACTCCAGTCTATGCGGTCTCTCCTATAGGTCCGCGCTGGTTTCTGTGTGCTGGTCACTCCAGTCTCTCCTCGGGTCTGCATTGGTCTCAGCGCTGGTCCGCGCTGGATCTCCTCCCAGGGTCCAAAATATTTTGAGATTAATCTCAAAATATTTTGAGATTCATCTTTAAAATAATACATAATATATTTTTAAATTAAGCTCATAACATTTTGAGATTAATCTCATCATATTCTTAGATTAATCTCATAATTTTGCTAGTTCAACTTTATTATCATAATATTTCGACTTTTAAGTCAACATTTTATAACTTTATTCTCAGTCTGGCAAAAGAAGAAAAAAGGGTGACTCTTTTGCTCCGTGTAACTCTTTGCTTTAGGCCTGTTAGGCCGTCTGCACACGGCCCTGCAGTCCCTTATATGGGCATTAGTGGGCGGTTACTTATGCTAAGTACCTATGCTAATGAAGCACCTGGCACGCGCGCTGTACTTACGAGGAAATGGGATTCATCAATCTGAGAGAACAGCTGCGAACAATTCAGCGCCTTACGAGTGCGTTGATGAATCCCACGTGGGGACTTCTTAGAAATCTACTTAAGGACAACTTGAGAAGAAAGTTGAGTAGTTTCTTACGAAGTTATTCGTGAATGAGGCCCATTGTCTTTTGAGAATTCTGTGGTCAAAGAAGACATAGGCAGAATCTATGGGCATTTTTCCACACTTTTAGACCAGTGTTGAAAATCTGTGTTGACCCCTGGACAGCGCTGGGAAAGGTTGGGGTGTTGTTTAGAGCCGTGTCAGGCTTCAGGAAGGACAGTAACGTGGAAATGATTTGAAAATGACCATAAGATTTTTCTTTCTTTCTGCTGCTTTTCATTTGTGTGAGAGGACTACAGTTATTTGAAATGTTATTGTACATATGTGGTGTATTGCCATGTCCACAATTCACATAAATGAGATAAGGAAAGATGAGAAAAGATAGATTAATAGATAAACGGGTTCTAAACTACCTTTCAAAGACATCAATCAGGACCCGCCAGTGTGACATTATAATTGACTACTGGAAGCTTGTTACTCTGTCATTATGTAAGTGTTTTCTCGTGTGTTTAAAGTACAGCTATATTTGGCCACTGTAAAACAGGTTATACCTAAATACCGAGTCGTTTTGACGCAACAACCTGTGAACTCAGTGTTTTTGCTCAGTGGGAATGAGCCTTCTGACACCAATGTCTCAATTTGATACGATTTTATCAAAAGAAACAATTCAATTCAATTCAATAGTCCTAAATCTCAACAGCAGTCATCTTGGAGGACTTTACACAGATCAGAGAATAAAGATACAAGAATTTATTTGCCGTTTGCAGTAAAACCACATTGGAAAAACTGTGCAAGACCACCCCAGGGGCAGGTGACCAATGTCTATAAATATTGGTAAAGTCAATACATTTCGTTGGATCATCACCACTGTCCTTAGACCCTCCTGCATCGGCAAAGAACAACTCAAAAAAGAAAAAACCCAGTGAAAAACCTCACAAAGGCCCACATTGAGAGAGGAATTTGCTCCCATGGACAGAGCTGCTATAAATCCAGGAAATATGGTCACATCAAAGAAATCGCAGGCTCCGCTCTGGCCAAAGATTAAGTTAGTGATCAGCTGATGCTTTTTTTCTATGAACCAAAAATGACATAGAAAGAAAATTGGAAATGTGTGGCAGTGGTTAGAGAAGTCCGGCCGTGGAGCCTCAATTCTAGAAATAATATGAAAAACATTGGAAAAAAATATAAGTATATACAGTGGACATTCTGAAATTGCAGTTTTGACTATTTACAGATGAATGACATGTACAGGTTCAGTAGTTCTCATTGTACAGTCTGAAAGCAGCAGGAAGAAAAGACCTGCGGAACCTCTCCTTCACAAAGCGAGGGTGAATAAGTTTGACACTGAAGCTACTCTCCAGAGCAGACAGAGTGTCCTGCAGGGGGCGACAGTCATGGTCTAGCATAGATTTTTTTTGGGGTTTTTTTGCCATTTGCAGTAAAGTACAACCAGAAGTACAACCATTCTCTTTTCACAGGATGGTCAATAAGTCTGTCACTGAAGCTACTTTCCAGAGCAGAGAGAGTGTCCTGCAGGGGGCAACAGTCATGGTCTAGCATAGATTTTTTTTTTTTTTTTTTTGCCATTTGCAGTAAAGTACAACCAGAAGTACAACCAGAAGTACAACCATTCTCTTTTCACAGGATGGTCAATAAGTCTGTCACTGAAGCTACTCTCCAGGGCAGACAGAGTGTCCTGCAGGGGGCGACAGTCATAGAGATTCGGCATAGATGTTAGTTTTTTTGTCATTTGCAATAAAATACAACCATTCTCTTTTCATAGGATGGTAAAATGGTCAAAATCTTATGAAAAGTATATATAATTGCTTACTGTGTTTGTTAATCCAGTCTTTTAACTCGCTGTATATAAAGTCTAAATCATTATCATATAAATAAATAATTTCACCTTTCTTTTGCCTTTTATCTTGTGTTTGTGTGTGTAGGATTTCTACGATGAGCAGGGCGTGTTCTCGGAGAGTTTCTGGCCTCAGAGTGAACCTCAGTCCATGCAGTTCAACCCCCGAGGACGAGTCAACAAGCCGCTGACTCCGCCCCCAACCTCACAGTCCATGAACAACCCGGTGAGAGCTCTGTCACTCTGTCACTCTGGGAACCTGTCTATCTAATACCAAACCGGTTTCCATGATGTAAATTGTATAGGGAGGTGTGCTAAAAATGCTATTCTCCAAAAGACTTTTAGAATGTATTTAAATCATTTTTGTTGTTGTTTTTTTTACAAAGATAGATAGATGCTTAATTGATCCCTGTAGGAGAAATGCAGCAGCAGAAACACATCCATCCAAACACATAAGAACATGTTATAACAAAATTGTAGCTGTTGCTTTGTACAATCGGCCCAAACCAAAAGACGTTTATTGACACTAAGGATTTACAATATATATGCGGACATAACAGAAAATAACTTATACTCCAAGGAGACGAGAGAGAGAGAGAGAGAGAGCCCTTGCAGGTCTCAGGCATTGTCCTTCTAGCTTCTTGTTCTTGGCTTTCATGGACAAAAAATAAGGGGACAATCCATACCAACAGTACATCATTCTATGCGTTTCTATCTACGCTGCATTTTAGAGTTCATCTTATTTCCATCAATTCGCAAAATGGGAGGACATTGACGTCAATCTGTGAACTGAAATTAAAACACAGTATTATTCTGTCCAAGGCCAACACGGCGTCGGTCTTAAATACCTCGACACCAGAGGGGATTTTGAACCTGTCACTTCAGAAGTCATAGGAACAGAACAGGCTTTAGGACCCTGGGTATCTGTTCCTCCGCCTGGAATAAGCCCTTTTTCTGTACAAAAATGTTTATAATTGATCATACATTTATATTGAGTCAAATTTATTTAATTGAACGCTTTTGAGTCGAGAATTGGAAGCACTTGAGACGTTGGCATGTAACTGTTTTTATAATCTGTTATTTTATGTAATTGCGTGTAACTTTAGCTTCATCTTGCTTAACTCATTGACTGCCAGCCACTGATTGTCAAGACCCATAGAATATTATTTCCTAAGACTTTGTGAAATGTGAAACAGATTCTGAAAGACTGGATTGTCTAATTTGATCAGCTAAAATAAGTTTGCTTTTAGCTATTTTTATTGTCCTGTAATCCCCAGTCAAATAGAGAATCTCAGACAAATACGTCAATGGCAGTCAATGAGTTAAGAATCCCTTGAAAAAAAAAAAAAAATCCCCATTTAAAAACTAGTTTAGTGGGATTTTCCTGCTATCACTGTGTCATGCGCATAAAGCAGTTTCAATACTATTTAAAGCACTATATTATATCTCTGAATTTACATAAAACACGTTAAAAACCTAACTATTTTCTCACAATCATCACGCTGTAACTGTACGTTCTACCTTCCTCAGCTCCTGTTCCAGTACCCAGTGAGCCAATCGCAGCCCGCCCCGTACTTCGTGGGAGGACCAATGACAGGGATGGACAGCATGGCGGGGGCGGAGCCAAATCAACAGGCCCCGCCCCCTGCTCAGATGCCGCCGGCCCCTCCCCCCTCCACCTCGTCCTGTTCGGCGGGACCCTCTCCTTCGTCGCAGGGATCGGAGACCTCATTCGACTGCACGCACTGTGGCAAATCTCTGCGCTCCCGCAAAAACTACAGCAAGCACATGTTCATCCACTCCGGTGAGACGCTAACCGCACTCGGCAACAAATATAGCGACGCCATTTTGTATATTTGTACATTAGGATTAAGATATCTTTTATCCATAATAATTAGTAATCTCTATTTATATATGGTTTTGTCCTCTCAGTCCACACAAATAGAGAGGGGAGGCACATGTCAGACTTTTTGTGCATGTTTATAGTGGTAGGGGAAACCGTAGCACCTGGAGGAAACCTACACAGACACTGGGAGAACATGCAAACGCCATACAGAAAAGGTCTGCGCATCATAAGTTACATAACAGTAGGAATGAGGAGCACAAGGGACGAGATACGTGAATATTGAATGTAGCACTATAACTCTATTCTTCAAAAATAAAATCAAAATCTCTATCTTTAGCTTAATAAACAAGTCGTTTTTTAGTGGTAGATGAAACCGGAGCACCTTGAGGAAACCTGCACAGACCCGGGAAGGAGTAGGTAACATGGCATTATTTCTGAAGGTTCAAATGGTCACAGTGATGCAACCAGTGTACATGTTAGCAACCAGTGTACATGTTAGCAACCAGTGTCCATGTTAGCAACCCTTGTACATGTTAGCAACCAGTGTCCATGTTAGCAACCAGTGTACATGTTAGCAACCAGTGTCCATGTTAGCAACCAGTGTCCATGTTAGCAACAAGAGTCCATGTTAGCAACCAGTGTCCATGTTAGCAACCCTTGTACATGTTAGCAACCAGTGTCCATGTTAGCAACCAGTGTCCATGTTAGCAACCAGTGTCCATGTTAGCAACCAGTGTCCATGTTAGCAACCAGTGTCCATGTTAGCAACCCTTGTACATGTTAGCAACCAGTGTCCATGTTAGCAACCAGTGTCCATGTTAGCAACCAGTGTCCATGTTAGCAACCAGTGTCCATGTTAGCAACCAGTGTCCATGTTAGCAACCAGTGTCCATGTTAGCAACCAGTGTCCATGTTAGCAACCAGTGTCCATGTTAGCAACCAGTGTCCATGTTAGCAACCAGTGTCCATGTTAGCAACCAGTGTCCATGTTGGCAACCAGTGTCCATGTTAGCGACCAGTGTCCATGTTAGCAACCAGTGTCCATGTTAGCAACCAGTGTCCATGTTAGCAACCAGTGTCCATGTTAGCAACCAGTGTCCATGTTAGCAACCAGTGTCCATGTTAGCAACCAGTGTCCATGTTAGCAACAAGTGTCCATGTTAGCAACCAGTGTCCATGTTAGCAACAAGTGTACATGTTAGCAACCAGTGTCCATGTTAGCAACCAGTGTCCATGTTAGCAACCAGTGTACATGTTAGCAACCCTTGTACATGTTAGCAACCAGTGTCCATGTTAGCAACCAGTGTCCATGTTAGCAACCCTTGTACATGTTAGCAACAAGTGTCCATGTTAGCAACCAGTGTCCATGTTAGCAACCAGTGTCCATGTTAGCAACCAGTGTCCATGTTAGCAAACCAGTGTCCATGTTAGCAACCCTTGTACATGTTAGCAACCAGTGTCCATGTTAGCAACCAGTGTCCATGTTAGCAACCAGTGTCCATGTTAGCAACCAGTGTCCATGTTAGCAACCAGTGTCCATGTTAGCAACCAGTGTCCATGTTAGCAACCAGTGTCCATGTTAGCAACCAGTGTACATGTTAGCAACCCTTGTACATGTTAGCAACCAGTGTCCATGTTAGCAACCAGTGTCCATATTAGCAAACCAGTGTACATGTTAGCAACCCTTGTACATGTTAGCAACCAGTGTCCATGTTAGCAACCAGTGTCCATGTTAGCAACCAGTGTACATGTTAGCAACCCTTGTACATGTTAGCAACCAGTGTCCATGTTAGCAACCAGTGTCCATATTAGCAACCAGTGTACATGTTAGCAACCAGTGTCCATGTTAGCAACCAGTGTCCATGTTAGCAACCAGTGTCCATGTTAGCAACCAGTGTCCATGTTAGCAACCAGTGTCCATTTGTTAGCAACCAGTGTCCATGTTAGCAACCAGTGTCCATGTTAGCAACCAGTGTCCATGTTAGCAACCAGTGTCCATGTTAGCAACCAGTGTCCATGTTAGCAACCAGTGTCCATGTTAGCAACCAGTGTCCATGTTAGCAACCAGTGTCCATGTTAGCAACCCTTGTACATGTTAGCAACCAGTGTCCATGTTAGCAACCAGTGTCCATGTTAGCAACCAGTGTCCATGTTAGCAACCCTTGTACATGTTAGCAACCAGTGTCCATGTTAGCAACCAGTGTCCATGTTAGCAACCAGTGTCCATGTTAGCAACAAGAGTCCATGTTAGCAACCAGTGTCCATGTTAGCAACCAGTGTCCATGTTAGCAACCCTTGTACATGTTAGCAACCAGTGTCCATGTTAGCAACCAGTGTCCATGTTAGCAACCAGTGTCCATGTTAGCAACCAGTGTCCATGTTAGCAACCAGTGTCCATGTTAGCAACCAGTGTCCATGTTAGCAACCAGTGTCCATGTTAGCAACCAGTGTCCATGTTAGCAACCAGTGTCCATGTTAGCAACCAGTGTCCATGTTAGCAACCAGTGTCCATGTTAGCAACCAGTGTCCATGTTAGCAACCAGTGTCCATGTTAGCAACCAGTGTCCATGTTAGCAACCAGTGTCCATGTTAGCAACCCTTGTACATGTTAGCAACAAGTGTCCATGTTAGCAACCAGTGTCCATGTTAGCAACCAGTGTCCATGTTAGCAACCAGTGTCCATGTTAGCAACCAGTGTCCATGTTAGCAACCAGTGTCCATGTTAGCAACCAGTGTCCATGTTAGCAACCAGTGTCCATGTTAGCAACAAGTGTCCATGTTAGCAACCAGTGTCCATGTTAGCAACCAGTGTCCATGTTAGCAACCAGTGTCCATGTTAGCAACCAGTGTCCATGTTAGCAACCAGTGTCCATGTTAGCAACCAGTGTCCATGTTAGCAACCAGTGTCCATGTTAGCAACCATGTCTGTAGCAACCATGTCTTTGCAACCCTTGTACATGTTAGCAACCAGTGTCCATGTTAGCAACCAGTGTACTTTTCACTTTTCAATAGGAGCCAGAGTGAAAGTTTTGTCCATGAGCACTTCCCTATTGGACTTCATTGAGCTAGCGGGTTAGCACTGTCCATTTTATACATGGATCTATAATAATAACTGGATAGGGTATTACTAGCTTATAGCTGTCCCACCTATGGGCACAGGGGGCGCCCGTGGTACTGGTACTGCAGACTACCCAGAAAAAAGTCCCATAAGTCTGAATGTAAACTAAAACAGCTCGACCTCAGCTGAACCTACAGCTTTCACAAAGATCGGATTTTGTGCAGTCTACGGTTTTGACTTGATTCCGTCTTGATTATTGTTATTATTGATGATTTTTTTTAGAGCATTATACACTACGAATGTGACCAAAATTATGCTTTTTTTGCCTCAAATGACACAAATAAGGACTGAGGACCTTTAATCCCGGTTAAAGGTAACCAGCCCATCACTGGGCTGGTTCTGGGCCAGTTTTGGTCTTATTTCAGATTCAGATTAATTTGATTTGCCATTTGCAGTAAAACCACATTGGAAAAACTGTGCAAGACTACCCCAATGTGTACCAGACAGAAGCCGGCACACACCAGAGCTCTTGCCGCTGTTTGACAGTGTTTTAAGTCAGCCTTTTTTGCTCCTATACTGATGGTACTTTTAATTTAAAGTACATTGAATTAAGTGTATTTTAATTTAAAGGACATTCCATGTCTTCTGCACACACTGAGGGATCGTATTATTGCCAAATGTGACATATCTGATCTTATACTGATGTCAGCACACTCAGTTTGAAGCTATAATATGATAATAATAAAACAGGCCACTACATATAAATACAGACAGAGCTCCTTTGTCTCTCTTTGTGGGAGAAAAAGTAGAAACTCAGCGCTCACAATGGATCTAGTCTATCATGCTACAGTCGATGTCAATGATCAAGATAGACTTGTCTTTGTTGGTGACTGTTTTTCCCTGAATTGCCTTGTTTTTGCTAATTAATTACCTTCACAGTTGTAGAGAACAAGATCAATAAGTACTTTGAATTGTTTAGAATTTGTTTTTTCTGAAGAGTGGCGGCTGAGTGTGTAGAAGCGCCAGTGCCTTAAATAATTAGCCTGGCTCTGCCAGACCCTTGTAGTTCCGCCATGCTCCACCAGAGGCGTTTGGCTGAACCACATGGGTCTGGTATCGAGCCCATCGCGAACGCCTTCCGCAGATAATTTTTTAATCGACCAATCAGGATTGCCGGTGTTACGTGGGGTTTGCACTGCCTTCTCAAGCTTCTCTCATGCAGCAGCGAGAGGAATCCAAGATGGCGGACTTTTAAATATTTTTAAAAGAGTAAATACGATCGAATTAAGACACAGAGGTCACTTTTAATGCAATTTGAGGCGAGATGTTGATGGTTCTATGTTGATACATGTGTGTTTTAAGAGTCAAATGTTCCTGTAAAGTTTGGTTGAAGCACTGGTTCAGTGATCCTGTTTACACACTATGCAGCAGGGTTGCCAGGTTTGGTGGTTCCCGCATATTTTGTTCCAAGAGACTTGTAGGTATTAAATAAACAGAAAGACAATAAACAGAATCATGATAGCCCAAGTTGATTATATTACGTTTTTAGCCAAAAAATCATTCTGAGTGATTTTTTTTGGGGTATTCTCGTTGATTTTGGGTTGGAAAATCTTGCTGGGATTTGGCAACCTATGGGAGCCGTGTGCTTCGATGTGAGTGGTTGAAAGCAGACTTCATTCAAGATAACGGACAAGTGGTCTATCCAATCACATACAAGGATTTTTTTTACAAGGCCCTGCCTTCTGAAATCCAACCACTATGGCTCAGTACCAGACTCATGTGTGAAGTGCAGCGAACTACATGGGTCTGGCCAGAGTCAGGCTATTAAATAATACATTGGGTTTTATTATTCTGTCACTGTAGAAGCCACAGCTGCCCTGGGGTACGCTGACAGATATGAGACAACCAGTCAGTGGCTTTGGCTCAAGATTTTAGCCGTATGAATCTGAAACCAAGTTTACCCTAGTAGCATTTTTACTACAAGAAAAGTCTGCTACTGAAAAAGTTTCTGCGTTTTTATAGAGAGATTTTGAGATGTTGTGCTATCAGGCTGTGTCTTGCTAACAGCCTTATAATATACTTATTTATTGTAGAGTTGGTGTATAGTCACATCTAAACCTTTTTGCTATGTCTTTCCAGAATATTTATTCTGTATTTATGTCAAAAGTTTAAGAAGCTGATACGATGAGCTGAAGGCGAGATGCAAAAGGCTGCACCAAAATCTATTTATGTGAGAACTTTCCGACTCTTAAGTGTGCTGCAGTAATTTCACAGCTGATAGTACTTAGCAAAGTTCCTCTGTTTTCTCGGGAAGACGACCTCGGGGCCTAAACTCTTAAAGCTTTACTTTACATTTTACTGCCTGCTGTTCTTTGTGATCTCCAGCTGCGCCTGAAAACTTCCTGTACGACTTTGTGGGTTTCTGCGCATTAGAAAATAGTTAGTTTTCAGTTGAGTATGAGATCGGCTCTCAGCGAGTCCTCATCAGATCTGTCCTCTGTCTGTGTCCTCTGTCTGTCTGTCTGTCCTCTGTCTGTGTCCTCTGTCTGTCTGTCTGTCCTCTGTCTGTGTCCTCTGTCTGTCTGTCTGTCCTCTGTCTGTCTGTCTGTTCTCTGTCTGTCCTCTGTCTGTCTGTCTGTTCTCTGTCTGTCCTCTGTCTGTCTGTCTGTCCTCTGTCTGTCGTCTGTCTGTCCTCTGTCTGTGTCCTCTGTCTGTCTGTCTGTCCTCTGTCTGTGTCCTCTGTCTGTCTGTCTGTCCTCTGTCTGTCTGTCTGTTCTCTGTCTGTCCTCTGTCTGTCTGTCTGTTCTCTGTCTGTCCTCTGTCTGTCTGTCTGTCCTCTGTCTGTCCTCTGTCTGTCTGTCTGTTCTCTGTCTGTGTCCTCTGTCTGTCCTCTGTCTGTCTGTCTGTTCTCTGTCTGTGTCCTCTGTCTGTCTGTCTGTCCTCTGTCTGTGTCCTCTGTCTGTCTGTCTGTCCTCTGTCTGTCCTCTGTCTGTCTGTCTGTTCTCTGTCTGTCCTCTGTCTGTCCTCTGTCTGTCTGTCTGTCCTCTGTCTGTCCTCTGTCTGTCTGTCTGTCCTCTGTCTGTCCTCTGTCTGTCCTCTGTCTGTCTGTCTGTCCTCTGTCTGTTCTCTGTCTGTCCTCTGTCTGTCCTCTGTCTGTCCTCTGTCTGTTCTCTGTCTGTCCTCTGTCTGTTCTCTGTCTGTCCTCTGTCTGTTCTCTGTCTGTCCTCTGTCTGTCTGTCCTCTCTGTCTCCTCCTGGTCTAACGGTCTCTTTCTCCTCCTGGTCTAACGGTCTCTGTCTCCTCCTGGTCTAACGGTCTCTGTCTCCTCCTGGTCTAACGGTCTCTGTCTCCTCCTGGTCTAACGGTCTCTGTCTCCTCCTGGTCTAACGGTCTCTGTCTCCTCCTGGTCTAACGGTCTCTGTCTCCTCCTGGTCTAACGGTCTCTGTCTGGTGTGTGCAGGTCAGAAACCTCACCAGTGCTCCATCTGCTGGCGCTCCTTCTCACTGCGTGACTACCTCCTCAAACACATGGTGGTGCACACAGGCGTCAGGGCGTTCCAGTGCTCCATGTGCGGAAAGCGCTTCACGCAGAAGAGCTCTCTGAACGTGCACATGCGCACGCACCGGGCCGAGCGCACCTTCCAGTGCAACGTGTGCCACCGCGCCTTCACCCACCGCACGCTGCTGGAGCGCCACGCCCTGCAGCACGCGCACCACAGCGCCCCCCAGGCCCCGGGACGAGACATGACCTCACCAAGCACCAAGCACAGTCCCCCGGCGCTGGGCGGGCCCTCAGGTATGGCCCCAAACCAGGGCATGGTCAGCAGCATGGCCAACATGCCCAGCCACGGGCCGCCCACCTCTTAGGCACAGGAGACCGCGGGGCGAGGGGAATGTAGACGTAGTCTTTAGCCCAAAACGAGAGCCATGAAAGAGAGGAAAGGCCGCACAAGTTCTCTGCTGCTCAACTGCTTCAAATTGTTATAATGTAATCATTAATGTCCCCAAAGTGGAGATAGAAACTCTACTCATAAGTCAAAACAAGAGTTTTCACCTTGAAGTGAATCAAAAGAAAAATAAACTGATCATGTTGTGATCAGAAGCTTCTGGTGCGACCAGAAATGAATTCTAGACAAGAGGCCTTGTCACTGATTGCACTTAGCAAAGCTAATCATTCCCAATGTATCTCACATGTAGCATTGGTTGTTGCCAAAATGTGAAAACTTAATTATGAGCATTAAAACTTACGTATTCTCTTTCACTGGCTCTGAACAGAGTTAGATTCAATGATAGCGTTGGCTCGTGTCGCTCGGATCGCCACATTGGGCAGATCAACACAAAAGAAAGAATATCTCATGACGACTCTAGTGAAGAATTAGAATCTCTGGATGTGAACGTACCACTGCCAATCCTCTGACTGCACAGCTGAGCTGCCCAACGCGGCGTCCACAGAAACACGCAGCCACCGACAAGCCTCATTCTTTAGGAACATCTCGAAGAAACATGTCAGGGTTCCTACAAACAGGTAACATGTACATTTATAAGATCCTGAATGTGAAATTGCACAAAATATTAGGGACGAATCCCCTAGAAAAAAGTAATGTGAGGTCTGTGTCCGTTTTGACGCCCTTCGTTCCTTCTTCAAAAGCCTTTTCTGTGCAATGACCCAAAGAACATTAAACTATGAGACAGATGTAAAACGTTTCTGCATCAGCTCAAAGCTGTAGATTCAAGTCAAATTATATGTTATTTTAAAATTGATCAAATGTGTTTGCATTTCCTGAATGAATGGCACTGGGAATCCTAAACACTCTCAGATCATCTTTTTCATTATTCAGTTTTTGCCTCATTCATTTTAATGAATACTGGTCACACAGCTGGTGTTAACACATACTCAGACCTCTGCTGAGTATCATTGCTTCTAAACTGTATGAACGCTGTGCTGCTAAGAGCACATATTCATACTCTGGACTTCCCTGCTGCCTGTGCACAGCGCTTTTTAACCATCACCTTCTATACATTTTACTGCAGTCACAGTGGTGCCGAGTTGTCATGGAAACCATACTGTAAGGAAAATGTTCACTTTTTTTTTTTCACGGACTGCATATATCCCAGCACTTTCCCCTAAAGAAGGAACTGGAATCTCAGCGCGGACACAGACCTGGTTTTTAGATGTAAATTGTAGTTTGAAAAGAAGAAAAAAACCGTAGCCGTCATCGCTAAGTGTTGTGACATTAATGCTGTAATCACCGCTAACAATCATCGATGCTAAACAGCCATAGAGCGTACATTAAACGGTAGCCAAATATACTACTAATGTTTGTGAAGGTTAAGAGTAGGAACCCTGTTTTAAAACCACCTGAAGTCACCAAAGAGGTTAGGCAGAGAGGAGGAGGAAGAGGAAGAGGAGGAGGAGGAAGAGGAGGCGGTGGGAGGGGTCAATGCTGAGAAAAAGTCATTCAACTCATTCAGGATCAAAAGGCAACAAAAAAACGTAGAAAAATCAGTTTCTCTCTCTTTGTAGCAGCGTTATTCTTGCACAAATCTACCGCAACGGTCTTTACAAAGTGCTGCATTGGACCAAACTGACGGAATCTCCGCTAAAATCTAGTTTCCTTTGCGTTTATTATCCAGGGCATGACATCCAGCGATCCATCAATCATTTATTAGTATAACACAATTCATGTTCAAGGCCATTCAAAGTGGTTCACAAGAGACATTTAAAAAAAAAAGAAAAAAAAAAACACATCAAAAGTGACTGCCACCCCCCGCCCCGAGCCAGACATGGATTAAGGGGAAGAAAATAGATGAATGGATGGATCAAAATGCATAAAAAAAGCAACACATCCGCAATAAATATACAATTATTTGATATTAAAACAGAGGACAATAAAAGTACTGGGCCTAAAACTTAAGCTATCTGCGCTACAGGGATTTATTTATTCTCCGAGGACTTTACAGCTGTTGACTCGCTAACGGCAGATTAGAGAATCAAAATGAAGAAATGCGATTATAGAAAACACATTGGTCCTTAAAGGGCAGATGAACAAGATCCATAAATATTATTGGATGTCCATAAAAACAGCTATAAAATGGTCTGAAGCTGTGTTATGTTAGGCCATGGACAATATTGGCTTTTTAAACGCACAATATTTTCTTTCTCTTTTAAATCAGAAGAGAATTTAAAAGCCGTTTCATGGTCGGACTCTCTCTATTAGTATTATTATTATTGCATTGTAGTCGCCATGACAACGACAACCCCTCTTCTCGCTTCTCTACTTTACCCTACTTTGTCACTTATTCTTATCCATGTGACGCTGATGACATACCAGCGTGGAGCAGGCATTTTGGCACAAATGAAAGGAATGGGCAAATCCACCTGCAGTTCCCGATACAGAAGTCATTTTAGTTCAATATTTACAAGTTTTTTAAGTATATTTTCAGCGTTTTAAGTGTCATAGAGTTTACATGTTTTTCCTCAAATATTGACATAATGAATGTTGGGTGTTTTCTGCCCCACAGGGAAGAAATCAGCTCCTTACGTCAATATCTCTGTCTTTTTAGTGCAAGTAGGTCAGAAATAAGCTCAGATAATGCAATATATTATTAGTTAAGAGAGATTTATCACGACTCATCCACGCAGAAAGCATCATAAACTTGTACCTAGCATACTACGTTTATTATAATTATTAAATATTATCGCCGAAACACAACCCGCAAATGACACAGAAAATACACATATGTATTGGTTCATAAAGAGACCAATGTCCATGAATGTTTACAAATGTCACTCATGTTTAGAATGTTAGTCCTTCTAGTTAGACACTGACTGCCCAACAGACTCCTGCATCAGAGGACAAGCTAAAAAACCCAGTGGGGAAAAAGTGAGAAACCTCGGGGAGATCCACATTGAGGGATCAGCTCCCACGGACGGACGGGCTGTAGATCCAGGAGTCAGACTGTAGAACGAGGACTGAGGCTGTAGATCCAGGACTCAGACTGTAGAACGAGGACTGAGGCTGTAGATCCAGGACTCAGACTGTAGAACGAGGACTGAGGCTGTAGATCCAGGACTCAGACTGTAGAACGAGGACTGAGGCTGTAGATCCTGGACTCAGACTGTAGAACGAGGACTGAGGCTGTAGATCCAGGACTCAGACTGTAGAATGAGGACTGAGGCTGTAGATCCAGGACTCAGACTGTAGAACGAGGACTGAGGCTGTAGATCCAGGACTCAGACTGTAGAACGAGGACTGAGGCTGTAGATCCAGGACTCAGACTGTAGAACGAGGACTGAGGCTGTAGATCCAGGACTCAGACTGTAGAACGAGGACTGAGGCTGTAGATCCTGGACTCAGACTGTAGAACGAGGACTGAGGCTGTAGATCCAGGACCTAAGCTGCAGAACGTGGTCAGGTTTGGTGCAATTCAAAAATATATTGTTTTTGCTGCAGTCTGAGCAATATATATAAACATATATATATACTCCAATGACAGAAGTACTCTTTTGTTTCTATTATAACATTGTTTTGGATCAATATTGAAAATTCCAATGGCCCAGAGTCACTAGATCAATAATAATGACCAATAATGTCTTTAATATTATTAGAAAGCAACAACTTTAGAAATGGATCTGACCTCATTACAATGTCTTTTGTCTTTTAGCTACATATTTAAACTTTCCTTGCTTTCTTAGATGATCCAATGCGGTGCTAAATATTAAAGGGCTCATGTGAAAGCAGATGTATGTAGATTTTAAAGAGACAGTATGTAATATTTTCATTTTAGATTACGTCTACAGCATTTGTATGTGTACACAGGTGACTAAAATGGAAAGAATTAAAAAATACAACAGCTGGAATGGTCAAAGGTTTTATGTTCACAAGTTTCAAGCAGCTTTTTTCAATCAAGGAGCAGAATAAGGCTGTAATATGGGTTGCCAGTTTGTTATAAGAATTTTAGCTAATTTTGGCTCGATTTTTCAACAACAAAATTCGCATGTGTTCTGAACAAAAGCCGAGACAAAAAATAAGCATTCACACGTAATACACAGTCTGTTCTGATTCTAGCTAAGCCCCAGCAGGTGGATTGCATCAGTAATCAGTGCCTATGGGAGCTGCATAAGTTACAGACTGAAAGATTCTGGCAACACAAGTGCGATTGTGCTTTTTAATGACTTTTCATACGGTCCCTTTAAGACGCGGTGTTTACCTCATGCAGTATTTTCACAAAACATAAATGTACTTTGAATCCTGCCTCTAATGATATAAAAAAAATAGATTCAAACACAAACAGAAAATAATGAAGTCCTCGGACCTCGCAGTGTTGTAACGAACAGGGTATTTTTCATTTAAATGCGTCTAAGTAGGTCTAATGTTAAACTGGTAAAATGTGAAACTGGGAAAGCCGGAGTATTTTTGACAGCTGTCACACAGAAGCCCATTAGCCGCGGTTATAGCGTTAGCATTAGCGCAGCACCGCGGGGAAGGCCCTTTGAACAGCGGAGACCTGTCAGTCACAAACTAAAGTCGACGGCACAAGGAGAGAAATTAAAAGCAAGTGACAAATGCGATGGGGGAAAAAAACGAGACTTACTTGGTCTTCTACGCACGGGTATTTTCTACAGTTTTTTATAAGCGGTATTTTTTGTTTTTTTGTTTTTCTTGGGATTGCACACTCTACTGTTATCCAACCATTACCTCTTTTCAACATAAGCTGAATTCTATAGTGCAATATTTTGACTGTGGCCAAAACAGTGTTGGTGCTATGATATTTTAAATAATGGACCTCCATGCTTACACACACACACACACACACACACACACACACACACACACACACATACCGACCAGCCAAATCTTTATGAC